ATTTACAGGCTTGACAAGCCCAGAACCGCCCGGACAAAGGCAGATGAGCTGATGGTTCAGTGCGGCCACCCTATACCTTTGGCACATCCACAGCTTGTGGGCAGAGCACATTTTTCACCAAAGCTTCTGCTGAAACGGTCGTCAAAATTAGCTGCTGCTGTCCGAGTCCCCCTTCCACCCCTTCCCTTGGGATTCAGCATCAGTCACACACTAAGCCGAGCGGGGCGTTTCACCCTGATAGCGGTTTTATCTTGGCTAATCCATAGGCTCAGGAAGACAGCGCTATATTCCTTACAAGCCACTGACACTTGAAGGGTTTTGCAGAGATAACTATTCAGAAGAGCCTAACGAAGAGCACGGTCTTGTAGCTGAGAAACTCCCACCACTACGAGGCAGTGGCAGGGACGGGGAATTTTCCTTCAATCATTCACGAAGCAGCCAAAGGTGGCAAGAAATTAATAGGGGAGAAAATGAACGCTTGGGAAAAAACCAGTGCAATAGAAGAGTGCAGATGCCTATGGACAATTCGTGTCCTGCTGAGAGGGGGACAGGGGCTCCCCATGCCCGGCGAGCCACCGAGCAAACACAGGCCGAGCACAGGGCGAGCACCCCCTCAACACCACAAACGCTTTTGCTGATGCTCTTCGAAAGCAATGGCAGGGGCAGCAGCAGGAACAGCAGAAACCCTTCCCACTCTCCTTAGGTCATTGAGCACCTTGAAAAAATGTTCACCCTAAATAGCTCACATTAAAATCAGGTGTTTATCTAGAAAAAAGGCATTGTCTAAATAACATTTGTTTTCTGGGCACAGATGCACCCAGTGTAAAACTATTTTTAAAAAGAGCATCTTTTGAACACTAGGATATAGAAAGGGAGAGGTGGCACTGAGTTTCTTACAGAAAAGACAGTTTTCTTCCAAAAAAAGAGCTCACTTAGTAAAGGAGACACCAAACAGACATAGACAGAAAAACACTGGAAAGTACTAATTTAGCTGAAAATGCACTTTTAAGCCAAACAAAACTACTTGTGAAGTTGAGTCAAAATCAGCACATAAAGATTCAGCCAAATAGGAAAAAAGCAAAAGGCTAACCTGTTTTATTTTGGGGTGTGAAACAATTTCCGTTTTTCATTTTGAAACAATTTATTCCACAGATCAGGCTAAGGTCATCTTCCAAAATGTGAAAGAACATATCTAATGAAACACAGAAAACAATTATCTTGATATATTTTTATGTCACTGAATATTTTTAGGTTTTGTGCTAATACAAAGTGGACCTGTTTATTTTTCATTTTGGCCATCAGAAAAAAAAAACCCACCATTATTGAGCAACTCTAACACCAGCTCAAAGGAGCATCTCACTGGAAAGCCCAGAAAGCAGTAGGACACTCTCTAACTGGTGTCACAAGAGGCCAGCGCAGATTTCTGCTCCCAGAGCCACCAGCTTGTCGATGCCACCAGGGCCGGACGGGCAGGACGTGGCGGGATCTGCGGCGGTGCGGCCGGCAGGTATCGGCACGGGAAGTGCCAAGCACAAGACCTTTATTAACGAAAGACCATGTAACCGAGGTAGGATAGATCCTGCCATCAACCACTTAGAGGGAGAAACCTGTGCCCAGAAAGGGAACCCACGATGGCCCAAGCTGAGATACAACCTCGTATAAAGACACCTCTGCTCAGGCTCAATGGAAATGGAGCGGTGACCTACTTCATTGCTGATGGCATGGGGAAACCAGGGTTTGGTTTTGAAATTTGAAATTTGTATTAAATCTGAATTTAACACAAATAAAACCAAGCTCTGCATCCCTTGGGCAGGGATGAGGACTTCTTGGCCTCGGCAGCATTTGGGGCTGTCCCTAAGCAGGCGGCCCCCAGCTGAGCCCCGCTCATGCCACGGGCTGAATCCCCAACGTGCACAAAAGGAGGAACAAATGCATCCATAGGACGGAGTGGGCATTTTGGTGGGGGAAGGCTCGCCGCCCCGGTGCTCCCGCCGGGAGGGAGGAGACGTTTCGACTCCAGGACGAGTCCCTGGGGAGCAGCGTGGGGCTCACAGTTGGGCACGCAGGGGTTATTGCTGGGCCACCACGGAGCGTCAAGGAATAAGCAGCGTGTGACACTGACGGTCCCTGCTCAGCGGGCACACGGGGCTCCAGTCCTGGGGCAGGCACGGGGCCAGGCTGGAGAGGGCAGCTGTGGCTGGCATCCAAATGCTCCTGACATGCGCTGCCTGCTCCTAGCACGCTTTTGGCTTTTAAGAGGAAAAATAAAATGAAAGAGAGGGAAAAGTTAAAAGAGATGGAGTTTGGGGGAGGTTTTTAAGTGATTATACATACAAGCTCTCAACTTACTACCATTCGGAAGGAAAAAGAGAGAAAGAAGGCAATTATAGCAAGACCTTGGATGCTTGAAGGATGGATTTTCCCACAGCGTATAGCCGTGGACAGGCATCCCTAACAACTCAATATCAGAGCAATAGCAAATAAGGAAAACATACATTTGGGGCAAGACTAGAAGAGCCAGAGCAGAGATTCCTCCAAGGACACTCTATCGTTCCTCTGGTGGGCACAAAACACTCAGAAATAACCCCCCGTGTCAGAGCTGTGCACTGGTTTAATGTGCCAGTATTAAACTTCATCTGTTAAATCAATGCAATCCCATAGAAACCCTTTTCCTGCAATGTAAGACTGGCTTAATACATTCCCAATGAACTGGATCTGAGATAGACCTGACTAAAGTCAGGGGGAAAAAAAATCTGGATTAACCCCAATAAATTAATTTGTTTGCAGAGTCTTTTGCATCCCTCTACCCAGAATCACATTAAAAATCATATTTGATATTAAAACCAAGAAGAAAGCTCTAAGACTGCTCAATAGGAAAAAGGAAACAGAAGATGGAGCAGGGTCCTTGATGTGAAAGCAATAAACACTGTGACGAGGAGGGCCCTGACTACCTGTATTGCTTGCAGCTCTTAGTTGTGTTATCCCCTGGTTCCCAGCGGATGCAGGGACCGGCTGCAGTTCGGGAAGTCTAAAGCAGCATGGGAGGAGAGGAGAAGCAGGACGAGCTGCCTGTTAAATGATGGTGTCTATCTGACTTGCCTATCAAATAAAAAGACTAAAAACGGAGATTACTTGTGCACCACCACACACAGTTTTTGACGTCATTTTCAATTTTGAGAAGTCTGATCTAACCCCACATTATACAACTGTTGAATCTTCCATGCTGGCAAAGGCTTATTTTCACACGCCTACATGCTATGTACCTGATTCTTATTTTTATTTTTAAATATCAACAGCCTACAGCAATTTTTTTTTAAAGAGACTTAAATGGTCATAATGGTTATGAAAGGTTCCAGCTTCACATCCGTTTTTTAAAAGGAGTAAAAGCAAAACTACACAAAGTCAAGTCTAAAAAACAGGCAATGAAGGTAACGCAACAGTAACAGATGAAATGAAAATTCAAGGGACAATTGCAGACAGAACCTATCTCCAGCACGTGGATTATATATCCACGTGCAAAAAGTATTCAATGCATGTTTCATCTATAATCCACCTTTCTTTTAAAGGTCACTTCTATAATTGAGATGTGCTGAGAAAAGAGAAAAGGCCCCCTTCCCCCCCAAAAAAAGCATGGTCGTTTTATAGCACTAACACAGTGCTTAACCAAGCTTTCGCCTGAATTAAGCAAATAATAATGTCACATAAACAAAAGTTCTTTCCTGAATTAATTCAGATCCCGTGTAAACAGATGCTCAAACCAGGCAAAAGAGAAAGAAGAAAAAGAAAGTGAAGGCAGTCCTAGCGGCAAGAGCAAAACTTGGGCTGAATTCTCCTCTCTGGCCCTTTTACATCCCTGTCTGCGGTGAAGTGAACTTCCTTCTCGCTGGAGACCTTGCATTTTTCAAAACACATTTAGAGCTGTTGAATCATCAACTCGAGAATACAACAGCATCTCTGCCTTTCGGGTTGGGGTTTTTTTGGACAGTCTAACTTGCTAATTCTCACCCTACTGTCAAAGATACACGAGGTAAGAATGCAGAAATCATAGGAAAGGATTTTGATTTCATGTGGTCATGACCCTGCCAGTCTCCTGGGCAGCAACTTGCTTCTGAGCAACACCCTCTCTAGCAACCTTGTACTGCTCTTCAGATCAATGACTCCTTCTTCACTACCATGGAAGTTAATCAACAGCAATCAAGTTGCACAGAGGTGCATGCCCCCTGTGTACAAACCAGCAATATATCGCTTTTTAAAATAAATGTCTGGTCCCAAGACTTAGGTGGGCATTTTTCAGAGATGCACATAACGGCGGAACTATATGGGTTCAGAATTGAAGGCCAAAGAGAGATGATCTTGCGAAGCAAGAGAAGCTGTCCTCACCTACTGGGTAGGATGCACAATTTGAAGAGCTGAAATTAATTTCTGCACCATCGACTTCGCGCTGTATGGGTCCAGGCAAACACATGCAACCTGTATCGGAGGTTATCTGAAATCCACTGGATTTTGTTCTGCAAGTCAGGCCTGATTGACTTGGTCCCTAAAGATACTGGTATCTGTGTGAAGTGATTCACTTGACTGCAGCTCATCACAGTCACATTTTACCAGTCTGATTTGCAAACTGCAGGAGCTCCAGCTAATCTTCTCTCTGCTCCACCACGGAATAAAAGTGGATGTTGCTAGGAGTGCTGATAGTCTGGACAAGAAAAAGACTTGTTTTCTGTTTCTATGGTTGCAACAGCCCTTAAGAAAGATATAAATTTCCCTGCAACAACTAACTGCATATTCATTTTAAGGTAGATCTAGTTCCAGATTCCTGAGACAGAACCTCTACCTGTTGCCAACCCCACGAAGCCAGAGCAGCAATATAGAAAGTTTCTAATCTCAATAGAATTCAGTGAGCAGCATGATTGGTTTGGAAAATAAACAAACAAAACAAACAAAACCCCCCCAAAACCCACAGCAAATTTTCAGCCTGTATGTACAAAAACAATGCAAACAAGTGGAACATTCTAGTTATATTTTGTAAAACACACGTTTGGGATCAACAAAACATCCAACATCCAGACCCTAGATTACAAAAAAACTATTGCCATCTAGTTGTCAACCCCAAGTTTAGACAGTCCTTGTCGGAAATCATGTAATTCATCTATCTTCCCGTCCAGTACATCTAAAAAATTCTTTAATTCAGTTTTAAGGTTGGTCTGCCTATGTTTGCTCTCTTCAACTTCTGTCCTTAGCGTTCTGACTTTCTCTTCAAGATCTTTGTTCTTTTTCTCAGCAGCCTTAAAGACAAAAGAGATAATAAGATGAATCACAGAGAAGAAGAACAAACAGCATTTAATAGGGTAAAGCAACAAATGGCAGCCGGGCTGTAAAAGTTTGCTTTGTCTTCTGCAAACTGATTAAGACAAGCACCTCAGAGCAAGCGACATGTGCTAGTCAGATTAAAAGGAAAGAAAGCCCACGCAGGAAAGGACACTGATTAACTGGAAAAGACACTTTGTGTCAGATTTTGTCATTTGGTTGATATCTTAAAATTCAGCTGGATTTAAATCACTCACTGTGCATATATTTCTGTCATTGCTACAGTTGCAGAATTAGACACTGTGCCACCAATTACATACAGAATTATCTATGGTGATTTAACCTTGAAAAACAAGTTTAGAAAATACTGCCTGAGCAATAATATTGCTTTATTCAGCACTTTTGGATTTATTGGTATTTTTTTGAAGTTCCACTTGTGTGACCACCCAGGCAAGGTACGGGGCAGCCACGTAACACTTCCCTTGCTGCAGTTTGTTCTATTATTTTCCCCTCTCGTTAGCTCTTCTGCCTATCGTTCTCCATTTCATGTGTGCAAGCACATGCTTATTCTCACCAAAACCCATAGACAACATATTTTAGCATACTGAATCAAACAAAATTCATATTTTAACCATTTTCAGCATCTGCACTCCTCAGTAACCTTCTAAATGATTTTAGATCATTTAGATTATCAAAGTGAGGCTTATTTAATTGACCGGATTTGACTTCATTGATGAGACTGCTTATATTTGTTCTCCTTTCGTGTATTAATTTATTGCACTTACACAAGCCCCGACTTTAACAAGTGATGCCCAAAGGCTGGGGCAGGGCTCCCGCAGCCCATCCAGCGCCGCTCCCAGTGCGCGCCTCCCAGCAGAGGAGCCGCACGTGCAAAACCACGCCACAGCGAGCCGCGCTTTGCTGGAAAGGAGTGATGCAGCATGTAAATGCATCCTCAGGTGAATTTTTTTCTCTGGTGGTGTGCAGCAGCTATGCTCATCTGCTTCTTTCCAAAAAAGCCCTCCCTAGTGCCACTGCGGCAATTCGCCGCAGGTCATGGAGTGCTGCTCGACACACGTGGCTGCGGTGCGGCTCCAACAAGCGCAGAGCAGCAGAAATACGGGATACAGGATAGCCTGGAATCTGCAGGAGATAGATGCAACATGATCCCAGGCAAACTAATTTCTGCAAACAGCAAGGCAAAGAAATGGAGCTATTTAATTACTCCTGCGCTGGGAAGAGCATGGTGTATTTTGCAGGCAATTAGCATTTTTTGTTTTCACAAACTGGAGCTCTTTTGCCTTCAGACACTGAAGTCTGAACAGAGAAAAGCATATAGTTACAAGAAAGAAAGTAAATGTATCAACTATTTTAAAATTAATTTCGTTGCTCAACTTCATTGTACCTGTAATTGTTGAGATACAGATTCACATTCTGACATTAGCTGTGGTATAATTTCACCCTGCTTTCGGAGCTCTTCCAGTTCCTTTGAAAACATAAAAGAGAAAAAAATGAATGCAAGCTTCATTTTAAAACATAATGAAAATTTGAGAATATGAAATGACTTTGCATATTTGATTGTATTCTGTACAGTATTTGGATGTAAAATAATCAAAATAGCATGTCTGCATTCCAAAACACTGATTTTCTACTAAAATACATTTTTGCACTGTATTTGTGACTTCACACTTCTAACACAGACAATGTAATCCGTTCTCTAGCATGAATGCCATTAATTATATCAATGAAATCTTAACCTAAAACACATACCTATACAAAAAATATATTCAATAAGAGAGAAATCTGAAGGGCCATAATGCTACAAGCAATTTATAGATGGTAGCAAAGAGCAAATTAGACATGAATTTCAATTCAATTTCAATTCAAGGCCAATGGCATTACAAGCTGCATATACAGAGGCATCATTACAGAGCACAGCTGTAATGGGCTCTCCTCCACTGTACAGCTCTGAGAACCGCCCCCGAAATTTGTATTTGGTTCTGGCATCACTAACCAAATCAAGAGGACTAGCTGAAAGGAGTTCATGAAAAGAGCAACGTGACTTGATAGGAGACCATGTCTCTGATGGAAATTAAGAGAGCTAAATACATTAACACCACAAACGAACACCACCAATGTGGGTAGTAGAGAAAGACTCAAAGAAAGCCTCTACATTTCACAGAAGGATTGTCAGAGCATCTGAAAAGCACTTTTGCAGGTCCAAGAGAAACTCTGTGACTTTAAGAGAGTGCAAGAGCCCCCTCCAGAAACTGCCCACGTAGGTGACGGTCTCAGGAGTAAGCAGGGGTATATCGTCTCTGAGCTGTACTGGCACAGGACAGCAAAACCAGTCCTATCTGAAAGGCAGATTTCTTGGCTACGAAATAGGATTTTTTCCCTAACAGGTGAACTTACAGCACAATGCGAGTGTAACAGAATCCGTAAGTCAAGCTCTTCTGCAGAACCAAACAATAACTTTTTTCCCTCAATTCCCCCTGATTCCCATGCATATGTATCTGTATATACATAAATAATGCCTGGGGGCTCAGATCTCAAAATACAAATACATTATACTATATATACTTACTCCCTCTATATATACACACTACTATACTGTATACTTACTATGTATAGTATAATACAGCGTGTGCATATATATACACACACATACAATATGTATGCTATATGGCACATGGCATATGGTATATATATAAATATAAATATCTCCCTAGATAGCTCTGTCCTGACTCCCATGTCTTTGCTTTCTCTCTCCTCATTTCCTACATGAAGAGGATAGCAGCAGCTCCTCTTACACCGCAACGTCCATGAGCAGGCTTCATGCTGGTTTGAATTGCAGACGGAGAAAAGGTTACTTATGGGTGGTTTAGAACCTAACCAAGAACCTGCTAATGTAAGTATGCAGTTTGAAAACAACTTAGTATATTGTCAGTGTAAATGGAAGATAGGCATGTAATATTCACAAGTCAATCAATTTTCCGGTTCATTTGGTACCGTAAAAATGTGAATCTTGAGGAAAACGCTAGCAGAGAATAAGGGTTATTATACGTGTTATTACCACAGAAAGGTTGGGAAGAAAGCATGACATTTTCCTTTGAAATATGGGCCTGAAAAGCATATTATATTTATAACAGTGCATCAAAATCCATCTCCCTAAACTATTTCCTTGTGCCATCTCAAAACCCCTTAATAGCACTGCTTTTAAGAGCACCAGCAGAGATGCTGTAATGGCACATGGCAAACTTCACTGCACCTGCTGACAGCTTTTTTTCTTCAGCCAGCACAGAGCATTTGGTCACTGTAATGAAGGGAAAAACCAAGTATCCCATTATTTTCTCCACTGCTCAGGGGCTGCAAGCCATCAACATCATTCTCCATAGAAAAATGAACACCCTGTACGTCAAAAATGACAAACTGGGGTACTCTAAATGAATCTGAATTTCTCACTCTTGGCATTAGTCCCGAGATCAGAGGGAGACTGTAAAAGGGCAAAGCTGAAGACTACGAGCCATCCGGATAAAGAAAGACGACTTGTTACACAAACGCCAAGTTATTTTGTAAATGATGTCTTTTTAATGATGCTCCTGATCTCTATGGGAATTCAGGACATGGGGACTGGCAACTGAGTCTGTTCTCAGCATACGTCTGTCTGGCTTTGGATAACTTGTTTCACCACTCCAGCTCTTCTATTAGGAGCAAAGTGTTGTATAACTAAAAGTATCATGTTTGTTAACCACTGCCAAATTAAAGTGTGCTGCCACAGTGCATAATCATGAAACTGAGACTGAGGAACTCTATCAAACTATTGCTAAAGTTGTACATGGAACATCTAGAAATGGGTGACACCCTGAGACATCGCGCTTCTTCTGGTTGTAGGTGAGTCAGTCCATATCTACATCCCAAGTGAGAAGCAGACACAGCCACTCAAACTCTAAAGCATGTCATTTCTGTGGTCAGGGCACTTACCAGCTCTTTATCCTGAAGTTCTGTTTCCAGTTCCTGGAGACGTCTACTCAGCTGCGCATTTCTTTCCTTCTCTTTATTTATTTCATTGCACTGTTCCTCCAGTTCATCGATCTTTAAGAAATGTCAGATATTAGGTGAAATTTTTCAAATTTCTGGAAATTTGGGGCAGACCACGGTTGATGTAAATGGACATTGCTCCACTGAGCAGAGGAAAGCACGGACAATTTTAATTTGTCATGGATCTGTTTCCTAGATCATAGCATTTGATTCACTACAACAAAATTATTGCTTCTTTCCTTAAAAAGAGCCAATTTACACATCCACTAGGAAGCCCTGGGACTGTGTTTATTCTCGCTTGCACAGTATCTTATATAATTATTCAAGAATGTGCAAAACACTGAGCTGCTAAAAGAAGTGGGGCTGGGGATAAAATCTGCACTTCATTTCTATGAAACCAACACAAGACTATAAGGGATGGCGTTTCCTAATGCAGCAAGGAGAAGAAATCTCTCCAGTGCTCCCAGCTTTGCCTCTTTAGGGGTTGCTTATTATTCTAGCTGGAGTATGAGGGAAACAACATCAAAACTTTGGGGGAAGAACCAGTTCAGAGCAATGTGCACTGCTTTGCTCTCTCGCCTAGGGATGTGCTTTGCTCTCTCCATACCTCCTTCTGCCAGCTCTGGACTTAGCTCCCCGGAGATGCACTTCCCACAGGCCAACGGGCCAGCTCATTACAGTATGTACTTTAATTCTCAGCTTCGTGTTGCTTTGGGATTACAACTTCCCTCATTTGAAGGTAGAGCAATATGCAAAAAATTCTGACCCAATTAATAAAGGAGGAGGAACTTCCCAGAGTGCTGCAGTGGTGCAGCGGGAGCGCCAAGCAAGGAATCTACTTGGAGGAAAAGCTCAGAAAACCTCTGCACAGAATAAGACAGCCCATTATACAGACAGCATTGCTGCACAGTCTGGCTAGTCACCGGTACGATGACTTTGCAGCTGTAGTAAGGCAGTGTTTTGATAATCTCCTCATATCTAGGCTACAGCTACTGAGATATGGCGTGTTTCATCAGTTAATATTAATGAGAACAACTTTTCCCTGCAACACTATAGAAAAGTAAAAAACTACACTGTAAATTATGCTGTTTTCTTATAACATACTGTTCCAGTCTCTCACTTCTCCCCTATCCAAAAGAGACTGGATGTAGGAACCCAAATCTTCTAACAACTAATACTAATGTGTTAATGTAACATCAGTTAATACAGCTCTGGTCTGACCTCTGAATTATCACCGTGCACACCTAAAATACATGCAAATAGAGAGTATCTGCTTGGGGAAAAGGTTGCTCCACATGGAATTTCAGGGCCGACAGGCAACCCAGGCCACCTCCAATGCTGAAATACTATTTGCAGCCTACTGACATACAAAAATATACAAAATTCCTTCCCTCTTTCAAAGTAAACACTAAACAAAAAATCCTCACCAGACTGATACAATCTGATCTCTACACCAAACGTCCCAGTGATCCACCTAAGCGAGCAGGGAAAGGGTCCAGGATTTTTCAAAGACTTTTAAGATGAATAGAGTGAAATTATCGCTGCGAGCGGTGCCCACAAAAACCAAGCTTCCCCATGCTCAGGTTGGTGCCAACCCTGTCTAGGGCTGTTACAGACAGCACTGTGTTATTTGAGGGGCAGTACCAATGAATGCTCAAACTGAGGCTTTAAAAATTTAAACCTCTCAATTGTTCTCTGCTGTAGCCACTGCTCACCCTCAGTCGCACACTACTT